AAAATAAAATTTTACTTAAATAATTATTAATTTATATGGATAATAAGTGAATAGTCATCTGTTTAAATAGATAGGAATTATTAATTTGTGTAGGATCTATTTTTTATATTTGTCTACACATTATTAGATATTTTTTTCCTTTTTCACAACATATTTCATGTAATTAGAGTCAAAGAATACATTTTTTTTTTAGATATTTGTTTTAAGATATTATAGGTTTTATGCTTAATTCATAAAACTTCACCCTCTATTCTCTCTCTTTTTTTGTGGTTTTTTAGTAAAAAAATCATTTTTATTTGTTATGATTATTTATAACAACGAATGGTTAGTCAAATGCAAAAGAGATTACATACTATTATGAATCTTATAACGGTTAAGGGTGTTTGAATCATTTCGATTATTTTTTTTTTGACATGTGAAAAATGAATTATTTATGTTGAAACTGAAATATTTATAAGAGATAATTTTTTATAATTTGATTTTAAAAAAAATATAGAATAACATAGATTGAATTACCATTCAAATGCGCCAGAGAATGTAACTAATTTATAACTACATGTTTCCATCTGTTCTGTCTCTCTCTCCTCTCTCTCTCTCTCTCTCTCTCTCCACTGCGTAAGCGTCCATCTATAAAACTAGCTTTTGCCACCAATCACCAATATTTCAACTTTTTCTCTCTCTCCCCTCTTCCTCTCGAGGTTTCTCTATATCCATTTATTTACATTACAGACAATTTAAGTTCTCAATTTCCTCTCCAAAACCCATCAAAATCCTTGAGACTGGGTACCATTCATCATGGGTTCTTCATTTTCTTTCTTCACCGACACAGCTCCTGTGTCTTCCTATCCCAGCCTTGGGGATTTGCCGGAGAGCTGTGTGGCGTCAGTTCTTGTATACTTAGACCCACCTGAGATCTGCAGACTCGCTATTCTAAACAGGGCCTTTCGAGGTGCTTCATCAGCAGATTTTGTTTGGGAATCAAAATTGCCTTTGAATTATGGGTCTGTAATTAAAAGAGTGTTTGATGATTTTCCTGAGAAATTGTGTAAAAGAGATATTTATGCCAGGCTTTGTCGACCAAATTCTATTGATGGAGGCACAAAGGTGTGATTTTTATTCTAAATTCCTCTTTTCCCTGTTATATATTGGTACTTTTCTCGGTCTCTTGGTATTGTTTTGTGTTTTTGAACAAACAGAAGCAAGCCAAAACTGTTTTGGAGGAAGACCCAAACAAAGAGGCGTTTGGGTTAATTTTGGATGCAGGGGTTTTGGGGAAAAAAAATCTAGATATGTTCTTTGTTGGAATGACAAAAGGAAAAAAAAAAAAAGAAAACTCTTATGACTTGTCATTGATGATGTTTTGTTGTGTAAATTGAGAACTAGCTGTAAAGAATGATGCCAAACCGGCTCTTAGATTTTTGAGAGATTTTTCAACCCCATTGTTAAATAGGAAGAAGAATAAATGACTTTATGATCTGTAATTGATAATTTTTTTTGATGGGTTTGTTGATGGGCTATTTGCAGAAAGTTTGGTTGGATAAGACTACCGGAGTAATTTGTTTATCAATTTCGTCAAATGGGTTGGCAATAACAGGGATTGATGATAGGAGATATTGGAGACGAATTACAACTGAGGAATCGAGGTGAGTAACTGCAAACGTTGTTTTGTTTATGTTTTGGATTTAATGAAACCAAGAGTTGTATTTCTTTTATGGACGAAGTTTAGATTGGCCGATCAAATTCAACTGTTCAGGGCATTTCTTGGTTACAATCCTCCTAAAGGATGTCATTTGTTTACATTCTGTCTTTTCCTGTGTAGTATATGATTCTTTGTATGCGATGCTGCAATTAACTATCCCAACCAACCAAACCAAGCTTTATATCCTAATTGTTTGGGGTTGTGACGGGAATCGTGTAGGAATTGAATAGATATTATAGATTAATTATGATAGTTATTTAGATACTCTTAATATTTAACTTTTAAGTAATTTTTTTTAACTTTTAAGCGTTTAGTTGTCATTTTGATTATTTATTTATTTTAGGGTTTGTGATCTCCTTATATATATAGGATTTATGAATTCTTTATATATATAGGGGATACATATTTGTTGAGGGACTAGACTTTGATTATTGATTATTGATATTGAATGTTCTTTTTAAAATTCTCTCTCTATTCTCATCCCTTTCTTCTTCTTTTTTTTCATCTCTTTTTTCTTCCATTTTCATCCCTAATTCTTCCCTAATACGATCTACATCAATTTGGTATCAGAGCCTAACTTCGATTTGAAAAAAAAAAAACGAAGTTACTATTTATCGCACTGTTCACTCAAAAAACTGTTCATCTGAAAACACTGTTCATCAGTGAAAGAAAAAAAATTGTCCCAGGTTTAGAAAATTACAGAAAAATCTTAGTTGTTCCAAAAATTACAGAAATATCCCAGAAAGTTACAGAACTACCACCAGAAGTTTTAAAAATTGTAGAATTTTCCCTCATATGTTTCAAAAATTGTAGAATCATCCCCAAAAGTTTCAAAATTTTTTCTTGATTATGGCATGCATACTCCCATGAAATTTGAGACTAATATTTTTATTCATTGAAAAATTAGAGAATTTGCAAAGGATCCAAAACAAATTTTCTTCTATTTAAGTTTTCTCATTTCTCATAATTATTAATTGCATTCTTGAACTCATTCTTATGTTATTCTCATCTTTTAAAGTCAATCATGAGTTCATATGATCATTATAATGCCTATTCATATACTTATCCAACATCAAGAATGTCTCAAGTTCATTGTTCTCCACAATGTCATCACTATATCTATTCCACTCTTAGAGCTTCTCGGAGGCATCATAAAGTCCATAATAAGTTTAAATTTTATTATGAAGATTATCTAGAATACTACTCTAGGACACTTTGGTCACATAACAGTTACCAACATCATGCTTCCCAAAGTCGTCATCAAGGTCAATCTGGATCAATTTTCAATGTTATTAGTGATCATTCAAAAGCCCAAATTGCCCTAAGAAAAAAGGTTGAGATCTTTGAAATTGAAGTTATCAACACTAAACATTCACTCGGCCAATTACATGAAGAATGTAGAGGGGTGAAAAATCAATTATCTGAATTAACAAGTCAACTTTCTCACTTGAATAAAATTCTTGCAAGTCAGCAAATGGAAGAAAATAAGGATAAATCTTCAGTTTCACCTAATGTCGGACACCCGTATAATGATAGTTATATTTCTGTTCCATTGGACCCTCATGTTTTACATCTTTCAAAACATACTTTCAATCGTTTGAGCATTGATACAAGTGATGAGATTATTTTTTATCCTATCATGTTTTCTATCTCATCGGTGCCAAAAGTTGAATCACCACTAAGTATTGAACTTGAGAAAAAATTCATTCAGTTAGTTCCTGTGCAAGATGTTGAGCATATTGAACTATCTATTTTACAATCTGTTGGTAATTATTCTATCTCTACTATTCCGAATCATGATGGCATTGTTGTGGATTCTTCTTCATTTGAGATTATTGATTTTGTTTCGGCTTCTTCTCCACCTGAAATTGTTGACATTGTTTTAGATTCTGTCCCACTTGAGATTGTTAACTTTGATTTTTTGCCTATTGTCAAGTGTTCAATTGAGTCTGTACTTTCTTATTTTTACCACCAAGGTGTTATAATCACTCCTTTGTCATTGATGTCTTGTCCCGTTGAATGCCAGTTGTTTAAATCTAATGGAAATTATTTTGTTATTCTTGAGTTTAGATCAAATGTTTATTTGCTTAATTTTTCATTGAATGTTAGTATTAGTCTAGATTTTTATTTGGAAGACATGCTACTTAATCGAGGTACTCCAGAGTTTCCTATTTTGTTATCAAGTGTTTCTACAAGTGGAATTGCTTCTTCCTCAGCATTAGCTCCAGCTCTTATCTTTCCACTTCCCTCGCGTATTTCAGGGCAAATAGATGATGTGTTATGTGATCAGAATTACATTGCTACAGATGGAGATTCTTGCATTTATTCTGATCGATGGAAAGATATTAATGGTTCTTTCATTCTAGATGAGACATTATGTCATATTCATTCTCTTTTCTTGGGTACTTCTACTTTGAAAACTCTCCAGAGGAGAGTTTTTTTCAACCGAAAGAGAATGATGAGGATCGTGTAAGAATTGGATAGATTAATTATGATAGTTATTTAGATACTTTTAATAATTATCGTTTAAGTAATTTCTTTTAACTTTTAAGAGTTTAGTTGTCAATTACATTCTTGAACTTGTTTTGGCGTCATTCCCTTGTTCCAAGAGTCACTCATGAGTTTCTCTAATACGCATGTTTCAAGAATCTCTTCTCAATGTTATCATCATAGGAAGTCAAAGAATGTTTACATGGAGTCAACCCATATGACCAAACAAATCAAAGATCCTTCTACATTTTGTGGTACTCCGGATCTCAATCAATTCTTGGATTGGTTAGTAAATTTAGAAGAATATTTTGATTGGCATGGTATGTCGGATTCCCATTGCGTCTGTTTTGCTCAATTGATGTTGGAGGGTTCCGCTAAGAAGTATTGGCAAACAATCCAAAGAAGCCTAGACCCTTTAGGAGAATCATGTATCACTTGGATTAAAATGAGATATAAATTGAAAGAGAAGTATTTGTCTACTTCCTATATGGATCAAGTTTATGACCAATGGTTCAATCTTAGACAACATTCTTGTAGTGTCTCTGATTACTTTGCCCAGTTTGATTATCTCATGTACTTGTGTAACATTATTGAAGAACCTCGGACAATTGATCAGTTTATTTTTGGGTTGAGACAAAAAATTAGTAGGGAGGTTAAACAATACACTTTTAATACGTTAGTTACAGCCTATCAATATGCTATAAAGGTTGAGAGATTTCATAAGAAATCCAACTATACCTTGATGAGTTCTCAATCACAGCCTGCTGATAGGACATCTTCCAATTTTAATTCCATCACATATGAGTATCATGATTACTTAAACGATGTCCATGTTGTTTCTGCATGCTTTCCTAATTCGAATGTGGCAAAGGATTTAGATATTTTAGTGTCAAATAAAGAGAAAAATGTTACTCATATAGACTTCCAACTCCCTCATTTAGTTTTGTCATTTTAGAGTCTTCTTCATTTGCACCCACAAGAGTCCATTTCGAAAGAAAGTGTGTGTGAGTCTTTGTTTGTGTCAATTCTTGAACCATCATTGATCTTGAAAATTGTGAAAAAGTCTGTTGAGTCTACACCTATACAAGATATTAAACTAATCGAGTCATTTATTACAAAATCTAATAGTGACTATTCTATGTCTACTTGTCCAAGTCATCATAACTTTGTTACAGATTCTTCCTAATCCGAGATTGTTGACATTGTTCTGGATTTTGCCTCACTTGAGAGTGTTAACTTTGATTCTTTGCCTACTGTCAAGTGTTCAATTGAGTCTGTACTTTCTTATTTTCAGCACTAGGGTGTTGTAGTTACTCCTTTGTTCAAATCTAATGGGAATTATTTTGCTATTCTTGAGTTTGGATCTAATGCTTATTTGCTTAATTTTTCATTGAATGTTAGTATTAATCTAGATTTTTATTGGAAGGACATGCTGCTTAATCTAGGTACTCCAAAGCCTCCTATTTTATTCGCAGGTGCTCATACAGATGGAGATTCTTGCATTTATCCTGGTCGATGGAAAGAAGTCGATAGTTCTTTCATTCTAAATGAGGCATTATGTCATCTTCATCCTGTTTCTTGGGGTACTTCTACTTTGAAGACTCTCTGGAGGAGAGTTTTTTTCAACCGAAGGAGAATGATGGGGATCGTGTAAGAATTGGATAGATATTATAGATTAATTATGATAGTTATTTTGATACTTTTAATATTTAGCTTTTAAGTAATTTTTTTAACTTTTAAGGGTTTAGTTGTCATTTTGATTATTTATTTATTTTAGAGTTTGTGATTTCCTTATATATATAGGATTTGTGAATTCCTTATATATATAAGAGATACATATTTGTTGAGGGACTAGACTTTGATTATTGATTATTGATTATTGATATTGAATGTTCTTAAAATTCTCTCTCTATTCTCATCCCCTTCATATTCTTTTCTCATCCCTTTCTTCTTCCATTCTCATCCCTAATTCTTCCCTAATACGATCTACATCAGGTTGGTTATATAAATCTGTCCCCAAATGGTAGCTTTTGTACATATCTTGTTATGTTGTAGGTTTAAATTAACATGCCCTGCATGTGGTTTTGTGGTTGAAGCCTGTGATTGAGCCTTAGGAGGTAAAATCTTGATTACTGCAATTGGGTTTGAACTAATTTCTTCTGGGCCGAAAGGGAATAAATTAATTTTCATCAAAACTTTCTATCCGTTATGCAAATCTGGATTCAAATATCATCTCCAAGTAACAGAGGCCCTTGTGTTTTGTTTTTTGGGAAGTAGTGTTGGATGATTTTCTTGTTGTTGGAGCTGGATTTCAACTATGTATGCATAAGACTACCTGAATTTGTTGTCAGAATGAGATTCTGACTTTGGATGCAATTCTAGGCTACTAAAAGCGGGGTGAAGAAACGACGTTCTTTAGATTGTAGAAGTGGATTGTTTGAAAATCAGAAAAAAAAATATATAAATGGAGCTGATCTTGTTGAAGGACTTCAGTCTTGAGGCATGTTCTTCTTTTGACAATGGTGGGCAAATATAATTTTAAGTACTGCATAGGTCATTTCTTATTGTCTGTTGTGAAAGAGTGTGTTAATCATCGTCTTCACAGTTATTATGGTTCTTGTTTTGGCAGTCTATTGTAGTTTTTTTGGAAGAGTTATTGTTATGTTTGCCATTGCTGTTGTTGTTACCATATGTGTGTCCAGGTTGTGAGAGGATGGTCTGTGGTGTTGTTGGTGTTGCCTTTGTTCTGAGTTTTAGTTGGCACAACATTAGCATCGCCTCATTAATGTTTTCACTGCGTGACAGACTCGTTAAACAAATTAGAAATTTCTTCTCTTGCATCTAGATTCTGCTCAGTTGCATATCTCCAGCAAATCTGGTGGTTTGAAGTTGATGGAGAGGTCGAGTTCCCATTTCCATCAGGGACCTATAGTCTATTCTTCAGGCTGCAGTTAGGACGGGCCGGCAAGAGATTTGGTCGTCGAGTCTGCAACTCCGAGCATGTCCATGGTTGGGATAAAAAGCCCGTTCAATTCCAGCTTTCAACTTCGGATGGTCAGAAGGCAATATCCCAGTGTTCTTTGAATGATCCTGGAAAATGGATTCATCACCATGTGGGAGTTTTTGTTGTTGAAAATCCCCTGCAACAACAAAAATCAAATTTTTCAATGACCCAGATTGATTGCACACATACTAAAGGTGGTCTCTGTGTGGACTCTGTACTAGTGTACCCAAGTGAGTTTAGAGAAAGGTTGAAGCTTTTTTAGTAGCAATTACCGGTAGGAGACATCTTCAATGAGTCTAAAACTACGTAGTAGGGCAACTGTACTCAAGTAAGGCAGTGAGATATATTTTTGTTCCCACTGGTTCACTCGTTATTATAGAGCTGGTCATTTTCCTCTGGGCAGAAATAGGTTTGATGTTCAATGAAAATTCTTGCGGAGATGGAGAAAATGAACTTGTGTGGTATGTGATCACTGATAAAATTTAATTACTGATGAAAATCAAATTAGCAAGTATTCCCTACTATAGATTCTGTCAACTGTAGAGTGTAGACAAAACTTCTTGACAATCCTATGAAAAGATAAACCAAAACTGATTTACGCCTTCCAGTTGTAGTCTATGTCCTTCCTGTTACCATTTCAAACCTCCATTCTTAGAAAAACCTTGAGCCAAAATCCTGTGCTTGGGGCATATGAAACCCCGGAAGATCTGGTTCTCTCCTGATTGAAATGCTGCTACCACATACTCTGGAAGAATTTCTGTTAGCGGCAGCCTGAAGGTTTTCAGTACTTTCCACAACACAACCCAACACATTTGCCTGGGCAGCAGTGGCAGCAACTATGCTAATGCCAAAACCGAGCCCAATGCCAGACATACCTGTATACCTGGCTTTAGCAGTCAAACCATCAACAACATTGTCATTAACCTTGCTAAGGACATCTGCAGTAACATTGCCATTTGCATCCTGCACTGCTTTTGCCCTGCCGTTAGCCACCATTTCCTGCAGTAAATTCTCGGCCATACTCTGCTGTAAGTATTTGCTGCCCTGAGAAGACTGGGAACTTGAGAAACCATCAATCTGCGAGTTTTGGAACAGTCCACCACTCGAGGATTGAGCACCTAGAATTGACGAAGTGACTGCACTCTGGCTGGAACAAGACATCAAACAGGGCTGGTCCTGCTTAGTAGAGTCCTGCCTCCGTAATTGCTGGAAATAATTGGTCAGCGCCGATGCCGTGTCTCCTGAGCCAGATAAAACTCCATCACAAGTTACAGGAGACATACTGTTTATGTTGCTGATAGGACCAGGACGCATTGCCGTCAACTTATTCTTGTCAGTCAGCAAGACTTGAGCAGTCCCTTGCTGCTCCATTTCTGGTGTTTCCTTCGTCCGAATATTGGGAGTGGTGCATTCTCGAGGATAATTTTTCAAGCTCTCTACAAGTAAGAGTTGGTATCAGATTGTAATTTCACAGATGACTGGGGCCACTACTTTTAGTTTTAACAGTGATCCGGATGACGGCAAAAGGATAGTAATTAAAGGATCCCAACAAATGCTTCAAACTGGCTTAAATATTTTATCAAGAGGATGCCAATGCTAATAAAATGTGCTTCCATTAAGCAACACAGATAACCGAAGGAAATTTTGGAAAAAAATTAGAGCCTGATGGCTACTTGGAAGCCCTAAATTGCAAGCCATCTTAAATAACAATTGAACCTAAGAGATCATATAAAACAAATAGCTATACATTCCTTTTTCCAATAGCATACCGATTGGTCCCATTTTTCTGGCACAGCTGAAAGTCATCAAATCTTTCGTGCTGTTTACAACTTCAGCAATCTGTTTCACAATACAATTGAGAAATATAAACTTGTGTAAATGAAATATTACAGATATGACATTTCAGATTATTATTTCCCTCTTAATAAAGATATATCGAAAATGTACCTGCAAACACCTGACATATCTTTTGGAAAATCCCAAGTCATTCACCATCGGTAACTCCAAGTTCCTTGCAAGCTGATGCCCAGCTGTTAGGAGCCTACACCCAGAGGAACAATCAAGAACTGGTCAGTGTCTTTTTCCAAGTATCTCGCCACAGTTTGGTCCAGTCCTCCCAAGAATTGTTCTTCGGGTTCAAGTGGAGATAGGAGGTTAAACTAGGAGCCCTTAGCCTGGTGGAACACATGGTTTTGGGTGGGAGTTCTGCTAAAATGTGGTTGTTTTGTGCAGCACAAAACAGCAAAACCATAAAGAGTTTGAGGTTGGGATGCTCCTGGACCCAGCAGTTGCAAACCACAGCACTGGTATTTTTGTAATTCTACATTATTTCTAGTTCTGAGTATGTTGTTCATAACTGATTTCATTTTCTTAGGTACTGAGCATTCGCAACATTTAGGGTTAGGTTTCAAAATATACCTCCTGGTAAAAAAAGTTTTGAAATATCAAGTGAATGGGTCATTGACTACAATTAGGTATTCAATGAGAGAAAGTAAAGAATTTTCAATCAGGATGGGATTACACCAAGGATCGGCCCTAAGTCCATACAGATTCATCCTAATTATGGATGAACTCACTAGGCACATCCAAGATGATGTCCCATGATGTATGCAATTTGTAGATGATATTGTATTAGTAGAAGAAACTCGAAGAGAGATTAACAATAAGCTAAAATTTAGAGAGACAAACTCGAGTCGAAAGGATTTAAAATAAATAGTAGAAAGATTGAATATATGCAATGAAATTTTAGTAATAGAAGAAGTAGACATAGTAAAAAAGTTAAGATTGAAAATCAAAAAATACCAACGAGTAAACGATTTAAATATCTAGGATCGATCATTAAAAATGATGAAAAAATAGAGATGATGTAACTCATAGAATCAACATCGATTGGCTTAAGGGAAGGAAAACATCTGGTATATTATGTAATAGAAGGATACTAATAAAATTGAATGGTAAATTTTACCGAACAGCTATAAGGACAGTAAAGTTGTATAGGATGAAATATTGGGCAACTTGGAAACAACATAGTGACATAAGTGTAGCGGAAATGAAAATGTTAAGGTAGATGTGTAGAAAAACTAGAAAGGATAGAATACGAAATGATCATATTAGAGAAATTGTAGGAGTAGCTTTAATTGAAGATAAGTTAAGAGAAAATAGATTAAGATGGTTTGGTCATATTCAACGTAAGCTAATAGAGGCACCGGTTCGAAAAAGTGATAGAATTTCTCTTAATGGTACTAGAAGTAAGGGTAGACCTAAATTAACATTGAATGAAATAATATGAAAAAATACGAAAATATTTAACTTAAATAAGTATATAGCGCATGATTGAAATGAATGGCAAAGAAGAACTCATACAGTCGACCCCAAATGATTGGGACATAAGACTTGATTTAGTTTGGTTTGGTTTAAGTGAATGGGTCATTGAGTCTGCTTTTGGACTAGCCGCCTTTGGAGCCAACGGAAGCTAAGGAAGTAAAATTTCACAAATTTGTTGATGGAGCTACTCATTCAGAAATGTTTGCAAGCATTTGGAAGTACCATGCAAATAAAATCATGCTTGAATTACAATCTTCGGTGGGAAGTTTTCCTCTTTAGATGAGAAAAGTAAACATTTAATTACTTGACTTACAAATTGCCATTTGATTGTAAATCCTCTTGCAAAATCCCATCCGATCCACTGTTGTTAGTGGTACTTTGATACTTGCATGCAGCCTGAACCAACCGGTTCACCTGCAAATAAGAATAATTTGTTTTTTTTTCCCAAGAACTAAGAACAACTTCGACCTGTGATATTAGATCATGCAGCTCTGCATCCACACAGTGTAGCATACTTAACTAAACTAACCAGAAGATGGATGGGGCCATAAAATTCTAGATGACAGTGACACCTTCTTGCGGAAATGATTTGAACCTATAATATCATCCCTAACAATATCTGGTGTATTCTATGGTTCCCCATATGATCCCCACATCCAAAAACAATGGCCACCAAATGAATCCCCATCTTTACTTTTTAGTTTGTTACTGAACGTGCACAAGAAATTAAGTACTTTCACTTCTACGAAGAAAATTATTCTGCAGTCATTTAGATAATAGATACTTAAATGTTGTTCAGCATACCCAAAAAGAAAATCGGCATGACTAATAAGAGTAAATTTACTAACACACATATATTGTTATAGTATCATATTTTCGCCAGTAGTTATGAAACACTCAGCTGTCCACAGAGCAAAGATCAAAATTGAGGGTCTATATCAATTTAAGGTGATTCAAAAAATAAAAGTATCAAGAAGCAACAAAGAATCATGATAATTAGAGACAGGATCCCACAAAACCTGAAAACGTAAATATGTTTCATGAACTGTGTAACTTCATGGCATAAATTGAGAAAGAAAGCTTCGTGGATGACAAGCTACAATATGTCAGTACCACCACTGCATAAACCGAAATTGCCCACATAACCCAACAAAAAGGAGAAAAGAAACCGAAGCAGGGAAACGGAGTTAAGGTGTTTTGCACATGGCTAGTGACAAATTTCACACCTGTGGTGCGACAAATCTACGAAGCAAAAGTTCTTCATGGCGCCGCGCACAAAACTCCCATGACAGTATCTGAAGAGTCATAAAAAAAAGATGGATTGAATTAATAACATGCTCAGATCGAGATCAGGGACAAAATCACACCTATCGGCTGAATATGTATTGGGAATTCTACTTACCTTCAAGTCGTGTCTGAAAGTTATACGAAGCCTGCCCTCATGAACTATACGAAATTGTTCGTAAACACACTCTTGAACTGCTTTTTCATATTCCAACATCATTAATCCAGAAGAAAATCTATGCTCTTGTGGAAAATCAAGGAATAGATGCTCATTGAGAACCCCACTCTCATATTGAATTTTACTAAGCCTAGGGAGTATTTCAAAAATTGACTCTGTCAAAGAACACAAAAAAAGTAAAGATTCAGAAATCAGATGATAACAACGATAGCGCAAACTCGAATTCACTATTCAGTAATATAAGTGCGCAGACGTAATGTAGAAATAAAAACAGTATGGCCCAGCTCTTGAAGGGTGAGATATCTAAACAAAGAGAACAGGCGAAGAAGAACACTAATATACTTGACGCATGAGATGTAAGTTTCAAAAAGTGCTCCATTCTTTATGGGATGGAGCAATTTCCAGAAATACAGTCAAGAATACCTTCTTTGAGGTTACAGTTGTTTCTCTAGGTACACAATCTTTCCTGGAAAATTATTGCATCAACAAAATGCAGACTTATTCCTAGGTCACTGTCCTATGATTTGCATCTAGCCAGCTATATAAATGATGTGAGTTCTCCATTGAATATTCTTCAATCCTTGTGCAACCTTATGTAATAAATCATGACATATGACATATCAGGGCCATACAAGTCATTTACAGCCTCTGGGTGACGTCGGAATTGGACAGACAAAATTGGGGCAACTAAGAAGCATGCACCAAGGTTCAAATTGCATCATTTATTGATTAAACAACCAGAAAAGGGTCACTGACCCCTTAATGGAAAAACAGTAACATTATCTATACTAAGATTTAATAAAGGTGAAGATAACTGAAAGTTGGAAAAGAGAAAACGTTAATATCAGAAGATTTGGGAAAGCTAGAAATCAGTTCTTAATGTCAACAAGAAGTGAATCCTTGTGCTAAATGAGAAAGCAAAACAAAATGTATAGATCAATTGCTACCTAAAATAAACTTCTTATTTGCTTACCAAATCCCTTCCCTGATTTAGAACCACAAATGTCACACTGCCACCCCTCCTGAGATAAACCAAAGAAGAAACTAAAAAATTTCAGTTTGCAGTAAGGCATTGCCTACATATGATCCAATAAGGAAGAAACGAATATAAAGAACAAATCATGTCATCCGAAATATAGATCCGCCTAAGGCAAAGCACGACCAGAAAAATATAGGAGTGGCCTCGAAAGATGAAAATGAAGAAAAATTGGAGGGATATGATGTGACTGAACATATGCATGATCAACAATTAGCTTCTAACTCTGGACAATATAAAATCTTACCGTTGTTGCCTGAGAGAATACACCAAGGGCATGTTGTGCAATATTTTCATATGAGGATAAACACCACCTTTTCTTAGCACTAGGAGCATAGTACTCTGCTACAAATTTCCTCCAATAGGCAATACTATTGTCCTATAAAGCAGCAAGAAACAAGGATTAGACCGCAATAAGATGCACATGTTTTCTCCAGTCACAGAACCAAAAAACTATAATAGAAAATGTCATTAAAAGATGATAAAATGGCATGGCATCTAAAGTGCCCAACATATATGATCTAATTTAATGAAATGTCTCAAATGTGAAAAGAGGATAGAAATACAGTGCAACCCTACTATTTCTATTTAACCAACTAACATGTGGCCGATGTCGCAGATGATACAGGTACTGCATCAATCGTCGAAAACAAATACCATCACCAATGGAGTGCATAGCAGAAACTTGACAAGAGGATTGCTGTTCTAATTGATTGCTCGTCTGTTGTGGCTGTTGTTCATGAATCTGCAACTGCGGAATGGAGTGTAAAATTTGTTGCTGCAGCTGATTTCGTAGTCTGTGCTGCTGGATCAATGCCCTTAGCTGTGGATTATGAACTTGCAACTGCATGGGACCCTGCTTCCGAAGTAGTTGCTGAAAGATCTGCTGGTGCAGAACATCATCTTGGTTGATGTCTTGTTTGGCCTTTTTGTGCATTTGGGTTGAAGTATCAGGCTCCTGTTCTATGCCAGAATGAACCGAAACATGATGCATTTCTGATATTGTCTGGGATGTAGATTTATAATCCATCTGCTGTTGTGGTCGCTGCCTTCTATGCCCTTGTCCACAGCTTTGATTTAGGTGGGAGATTTGCTGTGCTACAGAGAAACCATCCATAGCGGAAGTTCCTAAATTATGGGATGAGAATGACACGGGTGATGAGGGAAAGTTCAGGTAAGAATGACACGGGTGATGAGGGAAAGTTCAGGTAAGGTTAGCTGGTATTGCCACTTTTTGAGTACCACCTGGTACTGGTGAATTGGCATCCGTAATCAAAGAACTAGCGCCAACACTTGGTCCATAACTTAAAGAGTTGTTTAAAACTGTTGAGCTTTCATCATCAGTGACCAAATTTGCATTCAAATGTGCAGTGATAACTATAGAAGCCGGCTAACTCAAGTGAGTGGTAACTTTGGAGTGACTCACCAGTTTGAAGTGAGATGCTAGAACTTAAAGACTCCAAAAATTCTTCAGTCCAATGATGCAGTGCCTCTGGAGCACTGCTAACTCGCAGTTGGATTCCAAATAAGTTTCCAAAGATATCAAGTTTCCAAAGACATCCCTAGCAGAATCTAAGGAAATAAAAACAATCTCAATGGAATTACAAGAACCCTCATACAACACACCCAAAAACAGCAAAGTGAAACCAACGAGGCAACAATTATTTGCATTCTCACACAAATTTTCCCTTTCTCCTTCTGGCCAAGCAGTAAATCACCCCCTGAAAAATTTGCAAATCCCTGATAAATATCAAATATATCTCCAATTACATAAGCTACAATGCACAAATGTGAAAATCATAATGACATTCCAACAGTTGCAGAAAAGCATTATTGAGCAAAAGCCAAGTACTATAAGGGTGTATTGCCTTCAACATTTTAAAATGGGGAAATGATAATTATAGAAACAGAAGTGTCATTTTTCAATGTGTGGGTGGGGTATGAAATATGAACTCTGCCAACAAGTTCAAAGAGAATGCAATTAAATAGCTACCATCAACAATAGCAAAGCACCCATGACATCACTGTTTTGTTGCTGAGAAAATATTAAAAATCCCAAATCTTCCGTTTGGACACCAACACTATTGTTCATCATGGTTTAAGTTATCTAGAATGTCAAGTACTCACCACATTCAAGCCTTTAGTAGGCTGATCATTTAAGAAGAGGTGTGACCTCTTCAGTTGTAGAGGAGAAAAAAAACCAAAGAACCGGACTTTCTTTCACTTTGCTCACGTTTTCTTAGCAGCAACCAAACAGAGGAGAAGCAAAAGAAGATGCTTTGCGACTTTTTTATTCTCCCCATAAAACGTACCAAAGCAGTATCGAAGAAAGCGAAAAGGAAGTCAAAAGACCGTGAGAGAGAGAGAGACACTAACCCTAGAAATTGAAGAAGTTTCTGCAAGGCTCTGCGGATGTGTACGGCACCGCTATGGCTTTAGAGTAGAGAAAGCTCTAGTCCTGTGTTTTATGCAAAGTTTTATAATTCGCGGGAAGTGAGTGACAGTTTCTGGTAGTGGACACGCGTCACTTACAAGTAACGCCACGTGTTACACTCAGATTTTCTTATATCGCTCAAAATATCGTTTCGAAACAATCAAAATACTTAAAACGTTTCAATTTTCGAGAAATAGAAACGTTATTTTAAAATATTTTATTATATTTCAATACATTTACATAATTATTTCAAATATTTTGAGATATTTCAAATAATATTTTGAAAAAATAATTTTTAAAATTTTATTTTTTTAATTTTGTTTTCGAAACGAGTCAAAATATTTCCGTTTTCTAGATGATTAAAATAATACACCGAAACGAATTTTGATTCTCGCTGATGCCCAACCAAAAAAATGAAAAAAGAAAAAAAAAACTGACTAGCTGCTTCTTGTCTCTTAATTTAAACTCCCGCACAAGCTAATCAAGATTCGATTACATCATTTTAATTTCTCAATTAAAATAATAAAAAATGAGAAAATTATCAAATTTTTACAATTTTTTTTCAACTAAAACAACTCTCATTTTAATTTTTTTTTTCCCTTAATAGTTTCCAACTTACTTTTCATTCCACCTTAGTTTCCTTAGAAGTGCAGTTTAAATCAACATTTTTCAATTGTAAAGAGACATTTATAAAAGAGCAATACTATTTATTTAAATCTAATTTATCAATCTAATCAGTCATAACCGTTAGATTCACAGTAGATCTTAATATTTATATTGAGATCCACAACCAATTCAATAATATAAGAATTTTTTGAAAGTCAGTATACTTTGTATAACTTATTTAACTTTAAATACAAACTTTAAAAATATTTGGTAAAAATGTAAACTTTGGAGCAAAATTAACGAAAAATACCCTCGACCATCATCAAATCACTGTTGAAAAAATCCGATAAGGAAACTAATTAATTTGAAAACTAAAACTCTTAAATTTTAGAGTTTTCTTATATTAGAATTTTTCTCTCTCTCTTTTTATATCTCATATATATATAACTAAATTCAAAACTTAAATTTGATAAAAAAAAACTTAAATAAAATTTTAATTTCTTAATTTAAATTCTTTCTCAAATTCTTAAATTTTAAGATTTTCTTATATTAGAACTATTTCGTTCTCTCTTTAATATTTATACTTGAAAGTACAGTGAAATATAAATGGTTTTAAGAAGGATGTTGATAGTAATTGGATAAATCTATTTGAAACCGTCGGATGGATTTACAGAAATCTGTCATGTTTTATATTATATATATAATATATAATTGTGACCAAAATACAACTAAAACAAAATCAAAATTCTTTAATTTTAAATACTTTCGAAGATAAAGACTATTTTTCTCTCAATATATATTTTGTGACAAAAAAATTATGACACATATTGTGACTTAATAGCATACTGCTCGTGGATCACACTATGAGCATCATAAAATATATTACTTGTAGGTCACACTGTGAGCATCATAAATGTTGCATTAATGTCACACTGCATATAGATACCATATACAATGTTTGTACATGAATGGTCTCACAATGTGACTCACATAAAGATTTAAACATATATGGTGAATATCACAATGTGAATCCAATGTCACAATGCAACTACACATCATATGCATTATTTTTTCATGGCGTGGGCATAAAAAATGACTCCAATGTCATATTACAAAACAAACATCATATGCAATGTTTTGCATAGGGTGGATATCATATAATGTGACTTAAATGTAACATTAAATAGAGAGAAAAAATAAAAGGGAGAGAGAGAGAGAGAGAGAGAGAGAGAGAGAATAGGGAGAGGAGAGTAACAATGGAAGAGATAAAATAAAGGAGAGAGAGAGAGAGAGATATTAATAGTAAAAATTAGATACAGAGAGAGAATAGAAAATCTTTTAAAACTAATGGAATCCTTTCAAAATTTAAAGGTTAATTATCCTTTAATTTAAGAAAATACTTGGCCATTAAAACAAAATCAATAAAATAAGAAACTGAATCCTACAATTAACTGTCTAATTTATCTTCCACAGAAGATTTATATTAAAATACTTTTTCACAAATAAGTAGTTTATGGTATACATTTTCACAATTTCCCATAATATAATCCATTAACACAGTTAACACACTTCTCCAGCTTGGGCTGGTCATCAAAATGGCTGGTGGTAGAGAGCATATGTCTCAAGGGCACACCAAAACTCAGACCAATTCAAACAACAAAAATCTTAGTCTGATTGTCAGGCCAACAAAACATCCACAACAAAATTGGAGGAAAAATCTGTAGCACCTTTTCTCCCACAAGGGAAAGCCCCTGAACCTCCCATATCAAAGCACAGCCACCCCCTAGGAAGCAAGTAAGAAAGCTACTAGTTTAGTTACTCGTTGTTGCTGGGACGTCGATATGGCATAAATCTGTGGTCCTTTGCAGCATTCTTCCTTCTCTTTTTCTCGATAAAGGACTCGAGCTTTCCAGATGTCTGATAAATCACAAAAAGGTAATCACTGAGTACAGAAACTACATACCATTGTATTTGAACAGATCAAATCATACATACCTGGAGTTCGGTATATTTCTCAGTAAGCTTTTGCTTCCGGATTTCAGCTGCGAAAAAACAAAAAAGAACCATTTAGTCCATGAACAATTTGTAGTTTCACTGGTATATGAAACATCATTACAACACTTTTTAAGTGTTTCATGACCAACCCATTAAATAGTATTTAGAAACCCAAGTCAAGATAGTTTGAACACAGGAAAGGTGAATACCAAAAAAAAAATGCCTCTCAAGGAAAGCAAAATAAAGTACTGCTACGATAAATAGTCATTTTTCTATTACCATAATGTGTCTATTACCATAATGATTATCATCTGCAGTCCTATATCTATCCCTATCCCTTATTTCCCAATAATATATCCCTTTCAGGCAGTAGTTTGCTTCTGAAGTAAATGGGTCAGTTCAGGCCTCTCCAATTGCTGGCTATTTGATTGCTAGATAGCTTTTGTAAGTTGTAACCTTTGCTTACTAAAGGTATGTTCCAGAAGTATCAATGGTGCAACACACAAACATTAGAGACAAAGAGAACACTACATTTCTTCAAATAGAATGGTTTTTTCCCTTGCTTTGCAGCTTCTCTCTCTTTCTTCTTGTGCTCAGCCAGTATTGTTTTATCAGTACGCTTTGTTGATGCAGACTTCAGTTGTTGGTCCTAATACGCACCAGGAACAAAAGCAAATAGATTAAAAAGTGAATAAAATTATATACAGCAGGGGAGAAATAGAAAAATAAATTTAAAATGGTCAGATAAATGATTCAACATGGCAGCTGCTTTTTACTTGCATAAGCACTTACAATCCAACCTATGCGATCTTTCATTTCATTAATGACTTCCAAGTCCTTTGATTTCTTCATCGATTTCTTTAGTTCCTGCCAACGCCACAAAAAGGTCACTGACGATATAAATATAACCCCTGAATCGCCTATAAAAGAAATATATATAAAAGTGTTGAATTTCTATATTTCTATATTTCCTGAAGTTCCTAACATACCTCTTTCTCAGCAGGAAGATTATTCTCATAAAGAAAATTGTATCTCTTCTTGAACCTAAAAGATCCAAAATGCATATTATCAAAAATACAACACTATGCTTCCAAATACATAAAACGTGGCATGCAACGAAGGAAATAATGCCTATAAGCCCCTGAAAATACTGAGCAACAATGTAAATGACCAAAATACGACGCGATTTAAAAGGAAAAACATATGCATGAAACAGTCCACAACCCACACTGCAAAAACTTGTAAGTCATAATGGTCAAAATTTTACTGCGTCCACTTTAACATACTCAGCTAAGATCAGACACACAATACCAATTTTTAATATGGCATGAATCCTATTGTCAGGCACATAAATACAATGATTTAGAAAAGATTTATTTATTTGTGATTCAGAAACAACAGCAAAATTAGGGGCCATTGCTTATTCAATTGTATAGTCTTGGGCAGTCAAACATGTAAAATGGGTTCAGGTTCCAGAGCAGCCACTTTCTCCACCCATGTCGAAGGTTAGGTCTATCGCCAATCTACCATTTCCAACCCCTTGCATCAGCGAGATCGCACTAGGTAATGATCGTTACACATAGGTGTGTAATTAGAGAATATCAGATGGCACATAACCTGTATACGTGCAATATACAGTTGCTGATAGCAGGGGCGGAGCCAAAAATCCTTACGAGGGGCAAAATATTAACATAAAATTTTAGAATTTCAAGCATGAGAAATGTACGAAAATTTAAGATGAATTTACTCAATAAAACATAAAATCGAGAACATTTAACCTTAACAAATATAAACAAAAAGTACAAAATAATTTTTATTTTGTATAATTCAACACAATCACATTAAAGTAGAATAAGATACTCTTTCAAATCCCAAAATAATATATACTTGATTAGTTCTTCATATTATTACGAAGATTAGTTGAGATCATCTTTCGTCTTATTGAAGAATTAGTTCCTTGGAAAAGGGGAAAAAAAAGTTTTGGGCTAGAACATTATACCATTTGCATCTAATTGTGTTACAGGATTACATGCCACTAAATTACCCCCCAAAAAAAATATGAAGGCCAGTTATGCAATATTTTTTAGAAAATAGGGATAAAGTATCAAATGTAATCGTTGTCTATTGATCAATATATAAGTTAGGACTTTCACTCCCATTGTACTCAATCAGAAAAAAATCATTTATCTGGTTTAGGGATGGTGAGCCACTACTTAATGAAAAATCAATTCATTGTACAATTTTTTTGAAAAATAAGAGGGGCAATGTATCAATTTCCTTGTGTATTAGCCTTCTAGCATATACCTATATGTGTAATAATTCAAAAGTGAGGGGACTAAGGTAGCTCCGCCCCTGGCTGATAGAAGCTAACATCAAATTCAGTCACCTATGAAACCTACAGGTGTCATAAAACTGGGAAATTCCTCAAATCATATACCATAAAGCATTGAGCATTGATGGCTTAAATCTCAAATCAAATTCTCCTCCACATTCCTAAAGACACGTTGCTCTCCTTAAATTTTTTCATGAGACAGAGACACTGGATGGTTCCCCAACTCCCACTGTTCTCTGCACATCAACTTTTATTAGCATGTTGAAACATAAGTCCATCTTTTTAACTAAGCATTTTGAGAAGATATAATTGTAAGCTGGGAACAGTTGTGCACTATAATCTTAAAACCGTGTTTGTCTGCAGGCATGCAACAATCTTTATGGTACCAATCCAAAAAATCAAAAATTACACTACCTGAACAGGAGACGCACCCCAGAGGCCCAGAGGATCTAAACCAAGTTGTGCTACTAAACTCATGTACAACAAAAGGTGTATACTGGCTGATGAAAAGTTAATGTACATGTAAGCCACGACATGGAGTTTTAAATCATAAAAGTGTGGGTCCTACGTAAGCAGACCAAATAAAGCCAACAAAAAAACTTCAGAGCAGTTTAGGACTCAACATTTGATGCAATGATGCTATCACATAAATGAAGATATTATAGTCGAAATTGGTGTGTTATGGCTATTTTCTCTGCCAAATTAATTGAGAAAAGAATACAAAGTAACAAAATGACTCAAACATTGGTGTGTAGCAACTAGCTCATAATCACAGAAACTCAAAAACCAAGGTGACCATCACACTTGCATTACTAAAGATAAATCAGTAAACATCGTCCTGGACATATTAGAGTGACAGAGGGGGAGAGAGAGACTCACCCATCTACATCAAGATTGCCACATAATGATTCAAAACGAGGGTCACGCACCACCTGACATAACATTTATATTAATTTGCACAAGGATACATATAATCAATGAGCTTATATAACATACTTGTAAAAAAACTCAATAAACAAGATAAGCAGAAATTTGTAGCTGAATGTTTAAATAGCGAAACAACTAATGTGGCTTCACTGTTGCCAGGCATGACTGGAGAATTAGTTTCAAGTCATTCTGCTGCAGTGTTAAAGCTTTTATAATACACTACACTCGTAGTTGACCATGTCCTGAACTATATTATTCTTCCGGAATCTGTACCCAAGGCTGCTGCTCTTCGGACTAGAAATGCCAAAAAAAAAAAAACCCTTACTAAGATCTAATGCCAAATACCTAAAAAGATATGTCATCCAGTGCCTAAAAATACTATATCAGAATTGGGTCTAACCAACTATGGCCACCCATAATTTTCACCACCTTGAATTAACCAAGAGGTATGGGTGGATCCTTTCCAGAGATTGATTTCCTATGTCCGCCTCTTTTTGGTTATATTGTGCTATTTTTCGGAATTCTCTCTGTGTTTTGGCATCTGCTCTAGATGTCTTATTAGAAAAAATTGTAGTAGTAGCATTATCACTGTAGTAGTAGTCTATTGATGAGTATTTACGAAAAATACAACATCAGAGCAACATGGATTGACATAACTTTCAAGACTAGCAGCTTTTAATAATTCTATTGAAAGAGATGTAAACACAACTCACCTGTTTAGGAACTTGTATGACTTCTCTAAATCTACTAACCGGCTTCTTGCTACTAATCTCCATTGGCCTTCACACCCACAAACCAAAAGTGAAAATAAACACAAAAACAATAAGAACCACCAAATTTTATTTTATTTTTTTTAAAAAACGCTTCGATTGAATACCTATTCTTGTTCGCTCGGCCACCCTTTTTCTCTGAATTGGGCTTCCGATACAACATGTCTGACCCATCGGACCGTGCTTTTAGTAGCTCCTCCAATGTAACATCCGCAAGCTCACGCTCTGTGTCCTCCTCCTGTAAAAATTCGATACTAAAATTGTAGTCGTTCCATTCATATTGTATTTCTGGCTGAAATACGTAAAGGAATTAAATGTTTAATAATACACACATCTTCGGATGAAGATTTGAGTTCTTCATTGTCATCGAACTTAATTTTACTCGAACTGACGACGACAGTGCTGTCGGGCTTCTTCATTCCAATCGTTGCATTCAACTCCTCCCCTGAAAGTAGAATGGGGAAAACCTTAAAAGTAAAAAACATGTCGTGTGTATGAGTGAGAGGTCCGAATACCATAGTTTTAAACCCGGCCCGGACATCAACCCAGTAAAAGGACCGGGTGAATGGGTTCTTGGTTGAACCGGTTATATAAAAAAAAAAATTATTATTATTATTAATTATAAATATGCTAAAAAAATAAAAATAAGTATTAAAATATCAGAGTTAATCTACATGTGATACATAGAAAAAAAAACACAATCTGTTGAGAAGAACAAAGATGTGTATCAATGGCTGTTTCTCAAAATAAAAGTAGTTCATTTGATCTGAATTGTGTACAATGGCTGTTTCACAACAATAAAAAAACATGTATCTAATGTAGATCAGAAAGGAAATAAATGCAGACCAGTAGGTAAGGAAATGAATGTAGATCAGAAAGGAAAGGAAATATTCTACACCACCAATTACGCCAATTAAATCAAACAAAATAAAAATATTATCAAACATGTATCTAATTAAATGTTCAAGATTCATCAACTGCAACAAACATTCATCAACTACACCAAATTGAATGCTCAAGATTCATCAACCACATGGTACCAATCATAACATATCGACAGAAAATAAGCTAAAATTTTCCAAATTTTTCATTGAACTAAGTTAATATTCATAAAATAATTAACCAAAAACTGGCAAATCGAAGCTACAATTACCAGTTCACCACCATCTGAGCGCAAAGAGACTGAGAGAGAGGTGAGTGATGAACTACCTGTTAAGTGAAGGATAAGATATTGCCTTCCTTCGACACTTCGATTGGGAGAGAGAGAGAGAGTTGATTCGTTCGAGTTTGAGTTCGACTGACAGGGGCTACACCGTTCGAGTTCGACTAAGAGAGAGCTTGATTCATTCGAGTTCGACTGAGAGAGAGTGGGCTGATTTGTTCACCGGTGATAGAGAAAAAAAGTCTAGGTTAGGGCAAAAATGCCTAAAAGGGCCAAAAATCTAATTTAAATAGTCTTTAAAATGACCCGCCCGGGTTGTCAATAACCGTCCGATTTAGAGGGTTTGGGCAAGAACCGCCCGGTTCAATGGGTTTTGACCGAGTTTTATGCTGAAACGATGTAATACACTAACTGGCCCGGTTTGTTCACCGGGTCAACCCGGAGTTCCGATCCGGGTTTGAATACGACGATTCAAGCAACAGACTGTCGATGCACTCGGCCTACATAGGGTTCAAAGGCTGAGGAAGATAATAATTTTGTGTAGGGGACAATCCGGGTCAGATCAGTTCCGGCCCATAGTTGTATTATTGGCCGACTTAATCAGACACTGGTAAAACAGATTGGGCTGAAGACAATAACCAACCCAGTCCTACCCAGGTCCACACCCTGCCGACTTTGAACTCTAAATAGACTCATAAATGGACCAATCAGTGGGCCACCTATAATGGGCCTTAAGTAACCAGCTACATGTTAGTTCGACGATCTTCTTTCTTTTTGTTTTTTCGTTAATTAGTCGGTGTATACGTGCATTGTACGTGAATTATTTTAAATTATAATTTTGTTTTCTTATTCTAAGAGAAATAACTCCTAAGTTTTTGTCAATGTTAGCTTAATACCCGCAAACTTTCAGGAAAAAAAATTAAATATTTTATTTTAATTTACTTTATTTCCTATCATCTAAAAAACAAAATGGATTTCTAACTGAAATTAAGAAATTATCAAGATTTTATAAGAAACTCTTTGGCAGAGAATATTTCTTCATTTTTTTCATAACCTTGATTAGGTGCAGTGCCAAGTGGCCAAAGTTACCGGTCAGCTTAGATTTTTTTTTACTTCATTATGTTAGTCTTTACACCTTGAGAAGATGGTCGCTGAGCAAAGCTGTGAGACTAACGACAAATCAAATAAACTTACCTCTTAAAATTATGAGGAATGAATGCATGGGCATCTTTGATAGTTATGTTAGATTAGACAAAGCAATAGATAGCTATATAAAATTTATGTTGCCTTAATATAGAGGATTTGCACATCTTAGTAGATAGTAATATTCTTGTGTTTTGATAAATTATTTTTTTGTGTTTTGTACTTGATCATCTATTCTTGAAAGTCTATATCTACATTGACCAAATCCAATAAATTTGTCTAATTCTTTCAACATTTATCTAGTCAAAATCAATACAAAATAGTGAGATTGAACAAAACTATGTAAATTTTGGTCATACCTCATACCAGATCCTCGTCTTCATATGTTATCCATCGTCTACACACTCTTAGATGTTGAGTTTTTTTCACTATCAAAATGATCAGACCTTAATTAGAATCATAAAATAAATGGAACATACACATTAACACACAAAATACAAAAACAAGTACAAAAAATTAGGTCAATTGGTTGGTGGAAAGAGAAATAAAGAAAATAATTCAGATAATTGTGGAACTTAACAATTACAGGACTTTTTTGACTTTTGTATTTCGATTGTTACAAAAGAAGAGAGAATATACATGAAATAAAAATGTTCAAACCGACCAATCAATATTAAGTTAGAATTTGAAAGGTTAAAAAATAAATGAAACAATGTAGAAGCTTTTATAGTATGTGTTGTATAAAGATTAAAAGTCCAATTATTTGAAGATAAAAAGTGACTTATTATATACTATTATTTAAACAATCATGTACAAGTGTTTCAATGAATCAATAGAAAATTAAGTGGAAACGAAGTGGCTGCAAAAATAGAATTAGATAATGGTCATATTATAAACCAAATGGTTGGTGAAAATAATTTGAGAGAGACAGTCATCAACTTGTGAAATAAGTAAATGTACACTATAAGGAACAATTATTTTTCTGGAAGAGGAAGCATATAAAGGGTCATTTGAATATATAATGAATACATGATATTAAATACATAAGGATATAGTTGGTTCTAACTTTTTAATAGGAATATAATAGTCAATCAAATTTTTTTTACTTAATTTTCTTTTATTAGTAGTATAGATATACAGGTGCACAAAAACGGTGGTTGAGTAATCTAGAAATATCTTGTTCAATTCTTTTTTACACCCAAGGGTGGAGGCAGCTATGGTACAAGGTGGGCAAGTGTGCCCCCTTAATTTTTATTTTTTTATTACTTAGGTGTGTATATTATATATTTGTATAATATATTTTTTGTGCCCACCTAAAATAAAAATAAAAATATTAGGTCCACCTTTATAATATAACGAATATGTATTTTAAGTATTTCTTCAATAATTTTAATTATGTCCACCCTATGTTTTTTTGGCACATCAATTAGTGTATACTTATATCAAATGAATATAAATTTTTTGATACATTTTGGACAGGTTATGCACCTATCTAGATAAATTTTGAATATATTAGAATTATTTTATACTTTCTAAGACTAAAAAGATTAAAAAAGACATGATATATATATTCGTCATTTTTCTTGTGATTTTGATATTTATTTTTGCTAATTATGATAGAAATTATAAAGTACACATTGAACTGCATAATCGATCAAATGAATTATAAATACCAAAATGATAACATAATTGTGTATATAAAGAATAATAAAATTGTTATACAATATTTTCAAAGTACAAAAATTCATTGAAGTCAATTCTAAATTATTTCAATTTAGTCAATATTTTGTAAAAAAAAAAGATATTGTCATTTGTATATACTAAACTTGCCAAATTTTAGTATGTTGGGTTTAATGAACTTTTAAATATTAAATAGGATATAATTAATTAAATTATTGTGTTATTTCTATCAATCGTAAGAAAAAAATAATAATTTATTAAAATATTTGTGCCCACAATTTTTTGGCTCTGTCCCTGCTCACACCCTTTAAGTATTAGTCACTTTTATCTCTTTAGGGATGTGCTCTAACCTAATTTAAACCACGGTGATCAATCACTAAATTCAAGAGAATAGTCGACGTAAGGCTAAACGCATGTGATAAAAAAAAGGAGGGCTCGAACATTGATTTTTTTTTTTACACTGACTCCTTGTTCGAACCTATGTTAGCAAGTCGTAAAGGTACCATTACAACATTATACAACACTCAATTCAATTCAACAAAAATTTATCTTAATAATTTTGGGTTCGACTACATGAACCATCGTCTCTCGTAGACATATCTAAAATTTTGATGGATCGAAGAGGCACAAAATAGTTAAATAAGTAGGCCAAAATTTTGTTTCGAAATAATTGAAACGTCTAAAATATTTTTGTTTTAAAGTGATCAAAATAAATTAGTGATGAAATTAAAATTTTAATATTTTGAGATGTTTCATAATATTTTGAAGTGTTTTGTTATATTTCAGTGCATTTGCACAATTATTTTAGAATGTTTCAAGGTATTTCTTTGATATATTTTGATCAATATTTTTAAAAACAAAATTCTTAAATTTTTTATTATGTTTTTGAAAATTGATCGAAATATTTTTAAAACACGTCGATATGTTTTTGTTTCCTAAATAACCTAAATAATGTACCAAAATAAAATTTTAATTCTCGATTATAACACATGTGAATGATTACATAGTTATCACCGTTGTATCTGAATTTTATTTTCTTGTAATCGAATCCTTAGCAAGCTTTTTTCTGCCCTTGATTTTTGTGCTCGCGAATATTTCCTAAATGTAATTAGCATATTCTTCCTGTGACGGCCCGTGACATTAGCATATTCTTCCCAAAACGTCTATTTAATTCAGCACCATCGATAATTTCAAGGTACCATTAAATACTTTTGATGATTTCTAGGTACCATTAAATATTTAAATCACTTTTTTCGCTATCACTATCTCCATTTTTTTTAATAAAAAATTAATGCTTATAAATTTTTTATATTTTATTGGTAGTGTAATAAGATTATATTATATTATTTTAATATAATCAATTATTATTCTATTTTATTATTTGACATATATTTATTTGGTATATAAGATTACTAGAAATAATTCCGTGCCTGAAGATACTATTTAATATTTAAAATCGAACCTTGATAATGCAATATATTATATCTTAAATAATAATTT